GATTTGTTGCTGGAGCAGCTGTTGTTRTAGTGRCGGCACCCGCTGGGGCTGCTGTTGTTGCTGTTGTGGTACCTGCTGGAGCTGCAGTTGTTGTAGTAGCACCTGCTGGCGCTGCTGTAGTTGTTGTTGTGGCAGCTGACGAGACTGTTGTAGTTGCCGTTGGTTGAGCGTCACCCGCAAATCTGGTGGTGAGGGTTAGAACCAATACACCCACCAGTAGTGATGGTAGCACTTTCATATTGTATTCGATTTTGGTAAAAACTCAGCAAGTTGCTTTGTTGTTATCCAGATTTCGACTGTGCTGCTATTAAGATTCAGTGTGCCTTAAATAGTCAAGCTGATCTTACTTTCCTAAATGCTTTTAATATTTGTTTTGATTGATGGAAATATTGTACTTAGAATTATTAAAACAATATTGTTTATTGTAAATTAATAAGATTAAATGTTCCTGATAACACATGAAACATATTTGAAAAACATTATTCCATTTTATGCAAACATAAGAAGTAAATAGACGAAATAAAAACATGTTTTTGGTAATATGTTACGCATATGAAAAAATTACCAATTCTTTAAACGCGCACTTACTTGATGTTCAAAACACATGATTCATAGGAAATACAGACTGGGTTGTTACACAATATGTACCTAACTACTACGTTCTAATGCGATGTATTTATACAATTGTGAATTGTTTGAGAATTTTGATCAATGTAATACAGTGAAGTTCCTAATAACCGTCACCGTTCATAGGGGCGTGACAAAACGAGTGTTTAAAATGTATTCTTAGATTTAGAGATGCAATTTATAACTATATTTCCACATTATAATAAATGCGTGGCAATGTCAACCAGGAATGTATGAATGACAATTATCTCACTGACTTCATTCAAGCCACTGATGTATGCAGACGACACTAGCGCATTTCAGTTTGTTTGCTATGGTCATTTAACACATTGTTCTTAAAGAAACTGTCTCAAACACCAAAAATTAATAGAATTAAAACAACCAGGAATTATAAATTGTACACAACTTTCTTGAAGCATTTTTGAAATCTAGGCCACTTAACAAATAGTTTCCTTGACTTTTCATTGGAACGTATGGAACATACTCATGTCTCTTTATAGGAATTTCACTGTATATGCAATTTTACATCAGACCATGAATTGTTAAGCCGCAGATATGGAATATGTGGAACCCAGACATTATACTGAAAATATCGGTCCATCTGCTAAATACTATATATTATTGAAAATCACAGAAAATGTTTTACTGGCAATAATGTGCTTTTTTTGTCGAAGCTGAGCAAAAGCGGGTCAATATTTCCTCAATGATCATATGGTTTATATACATATTTTCGATCTTCCTGTTAACTTTATACGGCATATATTGTTCATTATGTGTACCAGCAGCGAGTCCTTTTGAAAAAAATTCATAAAATCGAATAAACACTCATCGTAGCTCCCATATACCTAGTGTAAGAATACGAAAATGCCGGTTGGGTTTTTAACCATTTATCAATATGTAAGATATTATAGGAGTTAACAAAATTCACATTTTCTATACATATAATGTCTTTTTTATAACACTTATTATTATATCCACTTTTATGCATGAAAGTATATAAGTATGTTTTTAACTTTTTCAAGTCCGTCTGTAACTTGAATAAATATAGTATGTATATGTTCCGTGGCTCCCAAGAGAGGACGGTATTACCGATGGGCGTAAACGGACCACTGCCAGCGAACACTTCTTAAGTGTCATAACTAGTAATAAGATACCGAACCGTAATATGATGCAGGGAAACATCTGTTGACTGAATGCTTTTTAAGTAGGCATAGTCTCGTACTCAATATGGTTTAATGTACATATTTTCAAAACCGTTGACGCCAAATCAACCAAAACTGGCTGGAAAGGAAGTATCAGAAGCTGTAACAATGGGTAAAATCAGATAATAACCACGACTACTTCTCAAATAATGATTATGTTGGAAACTACTGAAGGTGCGATGACTCACTGAATAAATACGCCTCAAACTTTAAACTTCACAACCCATATGTTAGGTGAAATTCTATACCTGAAGAACTAATCGATACATTTGAACTTTAATTATAAACTTATAATCTGATTATTTCACTTCCAATATACAAATCTATTAGCAATTATAATATCGGGATATACCTTTGTCAAGTGGTGTCCCTCAGGTATTTAAGAACAGACAATAAATAACTGGGCCACAGTGCATTTGGGTGATTTTATAAAGGAATAAAAAGACTAAAAAACGCATATCTAAAGCATTTAAAACTAAAAAGTTCAAAACAATTCTTAATATAAACTAATAGTAATATCAACTGAAAAATACTTGTAAATAAGAAAAGCATACATACATATGATGCTTTGAGTCATATTTTTTCGTATATCGAGCATATGTTGGCAATCTAATTTTGCCATTTTTGTGAAAATCAAAAATCATTATTCTTTTTCGAGAGTACAACTCAAATTTCTACCTATTTTTGAAATATTCCAAATTTATATAATAGCCAGAGTTAAAACAATGTAATGGAAAAGTGATTTGAATAATTTATTTTAAAAATATCCTTTTCATCCTAGCCATTTAAGCATATATTCTTCTGAGGCTATCTCGATTGATATGATTACATTGAAATAAAAAATATTTGCATGTACTCGCTGTAAATATTGCCTTTTAAAGACCAAGCAAGTGCTGGTTTAAACAAGTGGTATTATGTTAGTTTATGGAATGTACATATGTAAGAATAAAAACATATTTTTATTTGGTCTATTTGCTTCCTTTGTTTAGAATGGAATGATATTTGTCAAGTCTTAAGAGGAAACTCTAATAATAATAATTCACAATAAACTGTAATAATAATAAAACAATAATACTAACTATAATATTACCAAGAATTAGCAAATATTAAACTAAGAAATGTAAGATCAGCTTGACTATTTAAGGCACACTGAATCTTAATAGCAGCACAGTCGAAATCTGGCTAACAACAAAGCAACCTGCTGCGTTTTTACCAAAATCGAATACAATATGAAAGTGCTACCATCACTACTGGTGGGTGTATTGGTTCTAACCCTCACCACCAGATTTGCGGGTGACGCTCAACCAACGGCAACTACAACAGTCTCGTCAGCTGCCACAACAACAACTACAGCAGCGCCAGCAGGTGCTACTACAACAACTGCAGCTCCAGCAGGTACCACAACAGCAACAACAGCAGCCCCAGCGGGTGCCGYCACTAYAACAACAGCTGCCCCAGCAACAAATCCCGGCGGTAACGGCGGTAACGCTGCTGCGAGGAGGAGAAGACGAAGAAGACAGGCTGCTAGAAGAAGACGTGCAAGAAGAAGAAGGCGACGTCGAGCCAACCGTAGAAGAAGACAACTAAGAAGACGAAGACGTCAACGAAGGCGTCAACGAAGACGTCAACGAAGACAGCAAGGAAATCAGAATGGCTAGCTATAGCAAAATGTCCTTAAACTGTAATTACTTACATGATGAATAAATAAATATTATAATTTTACTTACTTCGAAATTAATTGAAATCCCTTTTGTATAGCATAAGGAGGATCATAAATAGATACATTTATTGTTAGCTATGTTCAAATAGAGTTTAAAGTTACTAAATTTTTATACTTCCCACCGCAATTCAAAGTTTTTTCCGAGACGTCCCAAAGAATTTGCCGCAATCACGGCATTTTTTAACATTTGTCAATAAAATTTAAATGAAAAATAATAAACAAGTAAGGAGGACTAAGCTCGAGCGCAGCCGAACATTTTATAAACTTCCAATTTGCACGAATTAAAACCAGGGAAATATTTTAATCTGCAGAACGTCAACCAGAGGATCGGAATCCCACCGATGAGTTATACTATATATAATTCATACTGACCGAGATATTAGGAATTAGATTTGTTAGAAAAATGAAATGCAATATACTACGTAGTATATCGGTAGCGTCGACCAGATTTTATCTATAAAATATATTGGGTAATCGAAAAAGGATTTTCGTATGTTGTCAATAGATGTCGTTGCAGTCGCATGTCTCCAGAGCTACCAATCACATTGTTTCATACCGACCGTCACATTAGCAGCCATGATACGCTAAAGAACTTTACATTCATCAGCAAACGGTTTTGAAACATTTAAAACGGCGGGCTACAAAAAAATGCTCGATGTTTAGGTATCACATGAATTGTCTGTGAAAAATTTAATGAGCCGAATTAACATATGCAATTCTTTGCTGATATGAAATCGAACCCTTTCTGAAGCGAATGGTAACAGCAGACAAAAAATACTACAATAACGTGCGAAAAAGATCACGGTTCAAGCGTAATGAAGCTCAACAAATGATCGCAAAGCCATGATTGACGCCCCGAAAGGTTATGTTGAGTGTTTGCTGGGATTGGAAGGAATCATCCACTATCATCTATCTATCTATTCTACATTTTGTTGTCAAGAAGTGATGAACGGAAAGGGCTTCGTCCTCTATCAGAACAACGCTTGACCACACACAGCTTTGATGATTCGGCAAAAGCTAGGAGATCTGGGCTTTAAAGTTTTGATGCGTCCACCATATATCTCTGACCTTACACTATCAGTCTGCCATTTGTTTAGGTCAAAATAAGAATGTGAAAATTACTTGTCGCAGTTTTTCGCCAAGAAATTGGAAAATTTTTACACTGATGGTGCAATGTCTCTAGCGGAAAAATGACAGAAGTGGTTGACCAAAATGGTACATATTTGATTCCTTAAGGTTCATTATAGTATAGAAATACGAAAAAACTTTTTCAAGTACCCAATATTATTACTAAAAAATATTTTGATTAGTTTTCTGTAATACAAACAACCGTTGATGAACAGAACTTAAACTTACCTTAACTTGAACCTTTATTTCCGTTACTATTTTAGAATATACGTATGTATATGATCATGTGTACTTACCGAGAGTTTTATTTTGCTTTTTTCCAGCTACCACAATCTGAACTAGATGGCCTAGATCCGAATTTCAAACGTTTTCGTATTGAAAACGGTGATTCGCTAGCGGAAAAGGATGAGGTGCGTAAAATAATAAACATTTTAAACAAAATCTCTGACTCAAAAAAATCTTCGATATACATATATTGGTTTCTATACAAAATGCGGTGTGGCGTTAAAATTATTGAAAGCATACATATATCGCCTGAAACTCCAATCGTTATTGGTGTACGAGTATATCTTACAGAATTATATCCTATAGCGCGAAATAGCCGCTAAAATATTCTGAGAATATTTCGGTTTGTAAGTTAATGGTATGCACCTGAAATAGATAAAACAGATAAATTTATCCATATAACTCATTTGGACTTTTTCCCCAAACGATTGTAAAACTATTTTGTAGTCAATGCGAGGTTTCGCCCCTGCGTAATATTATGGCTTGAAATATTCCAGAAACCATGCCAACATAAGCCCGCGACAGTACCTGATCCCTATCACAAAACTTCATCTGTTTCTGTTAGTATGCTATGAAAACTTCCACAGACTGCCAAAAGAATATATAAGTACTATTTAAAGTAGCGATTCCTTAACGTAAAATTATTAATTATTATTATTTTCTGCGAATATAAATCAGGTATCTATGTAAATTGTTTTACTTTTGCAGGTTTTCGGATCACCCAGTACACCTATCTTAGAAAATCCTGAGCATCAAACTCGGTGGTATTTCAAATACTTTTTGGGAAAACGTAAGTGAAATTAATAATATGAATGAGCGAGATGGATATACTTATATATATAAATGATAGAGACAAAGAGACATGTTATAATCCGGGTGACTGTCTCTTCGTGCAAGCTGTAACCTGAGTAAAAATTGAAAAAACTCGCATATCCTTAGTACACAACTAAGCACTGAATTAAGATATAAAATGTTATTATAACAAGTAAGGAAAGGCTAAGTTCGGGTGTCACCGAACATTTTGTACTCTCGCATGATAAAGTGATAATCGAGATTTCAGGAGTACTTCCTGAGAAATGGTTTTTGGTCCATAAGTAGGCGACGCCACGCCCATTTTCAATTTTTAAAAAAGCCTGGATGCAGCTTCTTTCTGACATTTCTTCCGTAAAATTTAGTGTTTCTGACGTTTTTTGTTAGTTAACGCACTTTTAGTGATTTTCAACATAACCTTTGTATGGGAGGTGGGCGTGGTTATTATCCGATTTCTTCCATTTTTGAACTGTATATGGAAATGCCTAAAAGAAGCGACTCTATACAGTTTGGTTGACATAGCTATAGTTGTTTTCGAGATATGTATAAAAAAGTTAGTAGGGGGCGGGGCCACGCCCACTTTTCCAAAAAGATTACGTCCGAATATGCCCCTCACTAATGCGATTCTTTTCGCCAAATTTCATTTTAATATCTTTATTTATGTCTTAGTTATAACACTTTATAGGTTTTCGGCTTCCGCCATTTTGTGGGCGTGGCAGTGGGCCGATTTTGCCCATCTTCGAACTTAACCTTCTTATGGAGCCAAGAAATACATGTACCAAGTTTCATCATGATATCTCAATTTTTCTCAAGTTACAGCCGGACGAACGGACACACAGACATCCGGATTTCAACTCTACTCGTCACCCTGATCACTTCGGTATATATAACCCTATATCTGACTCTTTTAGTTTTAGGACTTACAAACAACCGTTATGTGAATAAAACTGTAATACTCTCTTTAGCAACTTTGTTGCGAGAGTATAAAAAGGTGGGTATACATATCTCCTAAACTACTAAAGTTACAACAACCAAATCTGCTGAGCGCAAATAGAATAAGAACATCTACTATGAAAATGATAAGATAATCCGGCTCACTCCCCATATAACGGTACTGTTGAAAACTACTAAAAGCGCAGTAAGTCAATATATAACGCCACTAAAGCTATCTCAAACTAAATCGGGGGTAAATTTTTACATCTCTGTCGTATTGAGTTATTAATTTATCGCACTTTTAGAAGTTTTAAGCAGTCCCGATATTCTATTGGGAGTGAGCGGGGTTATGATCCCATTTCACCTTTTTTCACACTGTTGGTAAGAGTTCTTATAAGTATTATCCTACGCGAATTTGGCTGATTTTGGTGTTTAGTGGTTTAGGAAATATTTTCACCCAGTGGCATTTTCCACTGCGATCCCCCGTGTCAAATGACAGTTCTTAATTTAGTGCTTAGTTATTACACTTTATGGATTTTCATTTGATGACGTTTTGTTGAAGTGACGGTGGTCCTATTGCGCCTACATACAAACTCGTTCTCACTTTTCTGACAATAATACGTCTGAAAGTTTGATTACAATGATTACAAGTGACAGCTTACACGAACAGGCATACGTCGAATGGGCAGACACACCCGAATTTCAACTCATCTGCATTATATGTATATATATTTATATAACCCTATATCCTCTCGGCTAGTTTTAAGTGATACAAAACAACCGTTAGGTGATCAAAACTACTATACTCTGTAAAAACATGATGCAAGAGTGTAAAAACACAGCAATTATATAACATAAAAAACTCAATTAGCAAATTGAATGTACATTTCCTTTGTGTTGAAAAATTTGTATATATTTTGAACACATTCCCCCATTTTGGTTCGAATTAGTGATGGTCTTTAGTTCACAAATTAAAACTTTTTGGTCCATAATTCAAAAGAGAAACTTCAATCGTGACTGGTTCACTCAGTTTATCTTTGCCTGATTCGAGATGAGGAGTTTACTTAAGTTGAAGATTATTAATGCAATTTGTGATAGTACAAGTACAAAATGCCTGAAACTATATTACACCTAAATTGTAGCATAAGTAAAAAATGCACATTGAGACGCAAAGGTGTACGCGATATTTCAAAAACAAAGTGTTTCAATTTGTTTTGTTTAAAAATTCAAACACACACAAATAAAGTTAAAATTGAGACACCACAGAAACTGTTCCCATATAAGAAAATATCCTTCAAATGGTTATTATTGTCGAGAGCTGTAAAAATTTAGGTAAAAGCCAGTAAAGTTATTTTAGATGTGAACATGAAAAACCAAGAAGTCAAATTATAACAAAATCTTCGCCCTACATTCTCTGACCACATAGCTTCTATCGACTTAAAATTATAAGGACATATTCTTGAAATTTTAAGCAATAAGATAAAATTCGATTTTTCGAACTATAATTTATTTTTAAACAATAATTACGTTTTACCATACTTGGTGTTCCCAATTTCTTTAAAGATGTGCATGAGTAAATGCCTTATTCATATAACAACATGGATAATTGATACTATTAGCTGCATGCTTTAGGCGCACATTTTAGAAACGTCGGAGACCCTATAATGGGCAAGTCGATTTATCCTTGTCGGACTGGCCGTAAAACGCGTACTAGTCGATTTGAAATTTTTTACACGTTCTTTTTCTCAGTGGTCGGAACGGGCGATATTGAACCACCATAGCATGTAGTTGTCATGCTACTTGAACTAGCGAAATAAAGATTTTTCATTTATTGAGATCTCTTCCCGAAATTCGGCATGGGCTATTTTCCAAGCCAGTGTGATGCATTCCCCGCAAAATTTGTTCAGATCGAGTCACAGCCATATAATTTGACCGATCAGAGTTCTTGTGAGGCATCTTTTGTATTTGTGAAGGGTAATATTATAGCTATGTATTTTCTTGATTTTTTTGTTTGTTTGTTGCAGTGCCTATCAAAAGTATGCACTACCATTCAGTTTCAGTGCCTCTGAAAAACGTCACAAATGTGCAAACAAACATACGTACATATAGACATACAGGTGAAGCTAATAAAAGATTTATAAAGAAGGCTTTCTATTTGAAATCTTTTTACGGCTTCATTTAATATAATCGAAATAAAATGCTGTAATATCTAACAATCGTTTGTTCCCAAATAATCCGTCTTTATTAATTTATTTGTAACGCACTCTTAGAATTTGTGCAAATATTTAAATTCTTATTTTATCTAAGTGCCGCAGGAAATACTGATGTCAGTTCCGTTTCTAAACAATTATTTGGAAAGCTATATTGTCTGCTAATATTATTTCGAAACTGGCATTTATTAAACTCTCATTAAACTCTACAAAATTGTTAGACAATTAATTATTGTTCCGAGAGTTGTGCGTTTAATTCAAGCAGTTTGTTATGTTCGTTATATTTCTTTACCGAAACGTAAATCAGAATTTGTTATATTTGTTAAATATTTTGTATTACAGGAAAAGTAGTACAGCTGTTACCATTTGAAGTTTTTTTATAAACATAAATAATAAAATAACAAGGAATTGCATAGCTTCAGCATTCAGCCTTTTAGTTTTCACTTTTCGTTTGTTGCTATTTTTTCGTTTTGCTATTTTCTACTATTTCTATCGCTTTTTGTACTCTGTTTATCTGCATATATTTGTACGTTTGTGGACAGTAATTGTCCCAAAAGAATAAAAACGAGCAAATATTCAACCAATCACTTACCTACATCAGCGTAGTCTGCCAAAGTATCGGATTAAATCTAGAAAGTTCTCAATAAAATAAAGCTTTTTACAACAAGAAGGGATAAACTAACTGAAAAGATCAAAGGCCAGGAAGTTCCTTCATGTGATGGAAAAACCGTATATTAAACAAGTAAGGAAAGGCTAAGTTCGGATGCAACCGAACATTTTACACTCTTGCACCTTACAAAAATAAAAGCCAGGGAACTATTTTATGGTGTGAAGCTATATAGAGTAAAGACACATATTCATATAGAATAAATACGGTACAAAGTCATCCGAAAATTCGAAAATCTTTATATTAAGTACATAAAGGCTAATGGAGCTTTGGTCCGTTTCAACCAATTTTTCACATATAGACATATTACTATCAGAGAAGGATTATCCCTTTAATTTCCATTATATGTCCTATATCTTCGATCAAAAGTCAACTATAGATACCGGCGTTCAAATATTCGGTACCTAAGGGCTTGAACAGTTTTGGTTCGATTTGAATAATTACTTTTTGCAAATTTTTAGTTCACAGATGCCCTTCGCTATTGTGATCCCCAGGGCAGTTACAGTTCTATATCTTAACTTAGTGTTTAGATATGGCATATTTTAGGTTTTCGTTTAGTGGCGCTTACGCCCATCTACGCACTCTTCCTCTCTGTTTTACGATATCTTTGCGATATCTCAATTTGTACTGAAGTCATCGCTTGTACAGACAAATAGACGCATGGACAGACAGTCACTCGGATTTCAGTTTTTCTCGTCTCTTATGAATAACTTACTAGAATATATTTAGTTGAGAGAAAAAACAGTTAGGTGAACAAAACTACTATATTATTTAGCAGCATGTTGCAAGACTAAAAAAAGTATCAAATTTTTTGGAGAGGAGAACTATAATTACATATGTATGTATATCAATTCGTGTCCAAATTCTTTCCAATAAAATAGGGAGAACCTGAGAAAAATTCAAAGTAGAAACGTGCCTGAATTTATGAATGGAACTAACTATATTTTTATAAATTTGGCAACTGTTGGAAATCAACACTTAAAAAAACAGTTTATTGAAAAAAATTAATCGGCTTGCTTAATTAGAATTTAACAATACAAAGTAATTATAGAATTTACTGGCTAATTTAAAGATGTTAAAGCTTTTAATTTTTTGTTGTTTTGTTGTTTCATAAACATTTATGGTTTTTTGGTTATAGTTCACCAAAATTATGTCGGTATGGATACGGAAAAGAATCCCTACTTTCTTTCGGTTGTGTCACAAGACTCAGGACATCAGGGTGCACCAATGTATCGGGCAATATTATTTCGGAAACAGGTAAGCTGTTATGCTACACATAAAGTTAAGCTAAGTCATATACATCACCCTTTCCGATTTCAATTAAATATAATATATTTAACTGGTTGAAGCCTAATAAATATAAATTTAATTTTAGTTTTTTCAAAACATTTGTAATCAGCATAGTGTATATTTAAATTATATTATTGAATTCAAATATAAACTGTTTGCATGTTATGGGTTTATAATATGCTCAGATACTAGTAAGATGTATGCATATGAATGAGAACATAATGTAGGCAGAAAATGCATTAAAACCAATGCTGTTACATTTGGATTACGACTAGTAATCAATTAGACTAAATTTGAAAAGGAATGGTATTGATTACATAATTCTCTTTTTAACAATTCCTGATTATCAATTAATTATGATTCCAAATAATCCAAAAATAATTAAGATTAGTTAGGATTCCAGAAAATAATCAAAAGTAATCAAAAAAGTAATTGGCTACTTTCAAGGATTATTTTTGATTATTTTCGATTATTTAAAAAAAAAAAATTTGAAAGCTCATCATTTTAT